CATGTCGAGATAATGTTTTAGTGGTGCTGCGAAAGCGCAAAAAGCGCACTCTCACAGCGACCCGGTCTCTATATATATATATATATACATGTAATTATGTATATATATATACACATATAGGTTGGTTTATATATATATATACATATTTATATATATATATATATATATTTATTTGTCTATTTATTTATTTTTTACTTCTTTATACATTTTGTATATCTATATATTTATATATTTCTATATTTCTATATTTATACATTTATAGAGATATACAGGCCCGTGTTTTTCGAGCGAAATAAGCTTGCAGTGCGTCGCTTTCTGTATTTATATAATTATATATGTATATATTTGTATATTTTTGTATATATGTATGTATATATATATATACTTATATATATGTATTTATATATATATATATTGTATTTATATTTATACTTTTATATTTATATATAAATATGTTTATATATTTACATATGTATATATTTATGTGTTTATGTATTTATGTATTTATATATAAGTATATGTACATATTTACATATTTACATATTTACATATTTACATATATATATATATATTTATTTATATATGTATATATTTACATATTTATACATTTATATATTTATATATTTATATATTTATATATGTATATATTTATATATTTACATATTTGTATATATATATATGTATTTATTTATTTATCTATTTATTCAGCGTTCGTCTGTTACAAACTGTGGGTACGTAGTGTTAAGATGATGTCCGAATAGCATGCAACCTTTCTTACTTATCTTGTACTTGGTGTAGATCTTATACTGCAAGTGTTCAGCTCCAATATACAGATCTTTTCAACATATTTCGGTGACTCTTAGACAGTGAATATGCATGTAGCATAGCAGCTAACTAATCGTGATTGTTCAGTAAAATAATAAAAACTGGATAGCACCATGTCATGTCATACTTGACCGTACCATGTCATACTATACCATATCTTGTTAGGATCTACCATGAAAAACCGTGTAATCTACCACGAGACAAGACAACAAAAAAATGCCTGTTAGCACGTTATAGCAAAAGAGAAGCTAAAGTATGGTGGGGCATGGTGCTCCGGAAGAGATGCCCGAATTGATTCTCTCGCCGCAGCCAGCAATCCTCACCCTCATCGTTCGCGCAGACACGGTGTGCAAACAGTTGCCCCACCCAAACGAAACACAGCGATTCGGTTCCTTAACGAATCCTTTTTTCTTGCGGGAACCGCATACCGCATACCCTTTGAGCGAAACGCATCCTTCCTGAAAAACGAAGAACCATCCCCGAAACCTGCCTCCCGCTCCACCAACAATCCCAGGTACAGCACCAGCAGAGCCTGGCGTTAAGGTACCGCCGAGTCTGTTTTCCAAGGGAGAGCGTCACCAGAGAGCCAAGCTACTCACGAAAGAAGGAAATGTGTGAGATCGTGGTGACATGAGTCACGGCCCGTTCAAATTTGCAGGTGCATTCTTCAGCTGAAGTGCCTTGAACACGGTGCTTGGCAGATCTCGAAATCAAGCCATGAGCTTACATGAAACCCTGAAAGCAAGACGGCGTGTCCGATACTGCGAGCATAACCATCCTTGAAGGACAAAGGCACCACTCAGGCTCGAAACAAACGCTTGGCAATGCTAAGCAAAACCCTGCTTGCTTCCAAAAACAACCAGACTTGCGGACTCGGACTTGCCTGAAGTGATTTGCGGTTTTGGAACACGAAGGCGCTTCGCCACGTGCTGTTCCACAGACGCTCATCCCAACACTGATTGGACGACACTAGCTTCATGATCCTCATGATGACGTCCAGTGCAAACACCGGCAAACAACCAACTCACCAGCCGAAGTGCGGTATGGCCGCGATTGACAGTGTCGAAGGTGATTCGGCATCAGGTCCTGGCATCATGTCATGCAGTCGAGGTTCACTTCTTTGGCTGCTGTGACACATCACCGCAATTCCAGTGCTTGGTTTGCTCTCCGGGACTGTCCTGCAGGCTGCGAGTAGGTGACGGCGACGCCAATGAAAATCTGCCGGGCCAAACACACACAGCGAGAACAACGGCAAGCACAGCCACGACAGATGCCGGTGTCGAGGCCGCAGAGCACACATGCTGCACGGATCCCACAGGTGAGCAGATGCTTTTGTCGCTCGCATCTTGCAAACCGATTCTAGCTGAGCTGCCACGAAGATACCCACGGCGGTCAGGCCGGCCGTGACACGGAGGAAGGACTTCTGCCAAGGAACAGCCTTACGATTGATCGCAAATCTGCAACCGCAAATCTGTAAGTGCAAAGGTTTGACATAAGTTGTCGACCCTAGCTTCTGAGTGCAAAACCGCCATTGTCCGGACTCCATGTACTCAGCGCTACATGGAACTTGCAGAGCGTGTTGGAGATTCACCCGAGATGAGCATGATGACCCCTGTGGAGGCACTCGCGCATAGCCGTAAGCCTCATCGCCGCAATGAGCCGCGAACAAGTGAACGATGACTGTGATGATCTGGCAAGTTGGGTTTTTGTCATCTTTATGGCTCGGGAGCATGAGACCCTTTCAACACCTACTAGTACTATCCTTGAGCGGCGGTGCGGAAGGGTCTAGGGTAAGAGCCACGCCGGAAGAAAATCTAGGGCTTGCTGGAAAGCAAAGTCTTTTACCAAGAGGTACACGACACAGCTCGACTCAGCTTTTGTCATTGCAGTCGTACCGTCTGCACCATCCGGCATCCACGGCCAACTGAAGCAGCTGCCTTCGAGTCCCCACACTGGAAACACCGAAGCAGCACTTTTGTGGCGGCTTCCAACCCAGCCTTGCCACGGGGTCCTGCCACAGCGCTTGGGCCCAGCCGGAGTCGGGTGCCGTCAGAGGCGACAGCACGCGGGCGACCAGGGCGTCCCTGGTCCGATCTTGAATGGTTCCCAACCCTACCGGCCCCACCGCCCTGCGTGAACCATGTCCTGCCTCAAGGTGATCCGGTACAGCATGTCTTTGATGCCTCCCATGTGCCTGACGACGAGGCCTGAACAGGACCCTACAGCGGCATCTTCTGCAAAAGGCAGCAACGACTCATGAGGCCGCCCTCCTGTGACCTTCTTTAGTCCGAGACAACAGGCCTCCGAAGCCTTCAAACAGCTCGATGGAGGGGACCTGCGCAGCTTGAGGGGAGGGCTTTGCGGTGACAGCCTCTTGCGTGACGTATGGTGACTATGGTGATGTATAACTAACAAACTTTGGCAATGCCAGACTGGGAAAGCTTCACATTCAGCTTGCTCTCACATGCTACGAGTACTCACATGCACTTGCAAAATGTCCGGCCTTGGCCATCAACTTTGGATGCCGCGGAAAATATTCGTTCATCACCTGAAGTGCATGCAGCCCAACTGCGATGAATCAAGAGCGGTTGAGTACTTGGTCGAATCAGCCACGACTCTCGAGTCTGCGCAGGTGAAGCAACCAAGTGCCAGCCCACGTGCGAGAACCAAAGCCATTGATTACTGGCGTGGTGATGAGGCACACACCATGATGCAGTGGGAATGTCTATCTATATTTGTATTATTTGGCAATAATTATACGTGCAGAAATACCTCCGCAAGCCAAGTGGCCGTCTGCTCCAGAAAAAGCTCGCTGCGAAAGCGTGACAAGTCCGAGTGTTGCAGCGGCAGCCGCCACCTTGTCTAGTCTTGCTACTGTGAGGAATGATAAACTAAACCATTACTATTACTAGTTCATGAATATTCTTGTGACAAACGTTATCATGATTAGTCGTAGCATGATGCTCGCGATTTTTCCACCCTCAGTGTAGCGTTGTCAGATTCTTAAGATAGCCACTCTCCTTGCCCGTTCCTCGCCTCCCCCCGGCCAAGTTCTATAGATTTCTTTTAGTCCCCTACACTGTCCAGCAGCAAAGCATCCCACAGAGCATCCCAGAGAGTATCCCTGAAGCCCGAGAGCGCCACTGCCAGATTATCCCGCAAATCAGCCCCAGACTGCCCACCCGAGAATGTCCCTGGAGTGCCCACCTTAAAGTGTGCTGCAGAGCAGAGCATACCCGGAGTGCTCACCCCGAGAGCTATCTCTCACACCAACAACATGATAATTAATGAAACAAGAAATCATCATACTGCTTCTTCGACGACGACTACCACTGCTACTGCTACTACCGCTACTGCGTCTTCGAGCTGGCGATTTTTGCGCCTGCGTTGTCTTAGTTCGGTGCTTCGGCATCGGGCGAATTGACTCAGAGCTTGCTTTGCATTCTTCCCACCGAGACCCTCAAAACGGCCCAGGAACGGTATTGTGTTCCATGTACGATAACACTAAAGACTAAAGCACCGGTCGCAGGGCACTGGACAATTTGTCTTATGAGGCAAGACGTAGGCGGTGGTCTCAGCACGTGTGCAAAGGAGAGGGCTTCATGCTGGACGCCTTCCAGATGAGTGCAAGGACACGACCAGCCTAGTAGCTCCTAGCCATGGCAGACGAACCGTTTAGTGGCTAGCTGCAGCTGTGACACCACTCCTGCATCATCTTTCGTGACACAGGGCTGTTGCGCACGACCTGCGCAGGCCATTTCAGGTTGCCGGGTGCGGGCCGAAGCAAAGCCCCATGAGCCGAGCAAGGCCCACCATGAAGTGGTCGGAGATATTGATTCTTTTGATGGACAGCTTGCCGATTTCCTTGGTCCTTGGCGCACATGTCTATGCCAGCGCCATTGTGATGACGAAGCTCGGGCAAACAGATGCATGATGATGTTCGCTTCTCTGATTTGGCAAACAGTTCGTGCAAAAGGTGAAGACCGATGTCTCCGCACAACTGCACATATGACTTCATCTGAACGATATCCGAAGGGCGCCGAAGTCGAGGCGAAGAAGAAGAATGGCGGTCTTTGCAGGGGTGGCGGGTATGGCAGGAGTGCTTCCTCGATTCATGTCTGTGATCCCTATACCCTAAGCCCTAAACCCTAAATCGCGCACTGCTCAAAGCTTCCACTTTGTAGCTGCCCTTGCCCTGCCTTGAGCGGTTTGCCGGGAAGCCCTGGCCCTCCAGCAGCTCCTGGCACACTGGGATTCAACATCAAGTAACACTATCATTATCAAGGTTATGACTCTTCGTACGATTCACGTGATTCGCCATGAGAAAAAACGCCACAAGGGTTCTGAAGAGCTCTGAGATTGCCCTCAGACTGCTCTTAGTCTTTGCTGTGCCTCCAGGGGCTCGGAGGAGACGATGAAGGCGTCGCTGTCCATCCAGGCCACCAGCTCGCAGCTCCTGTCCTCCACATGACATCTGCAAAGACATTGCTTCCAGTAAATGCTCCTACCCCCCCCCCCCCCCCCCC